TATTTATTCGAATGTTCTATTTGCTTTTTTTTACAATTTATCCATTTTTCAATGTTCCGATTTTATAATTTTTCGTTTCTCCAATTTTTCGATTTGCAATTTTTCAATTTTTCTCATTTTCTTTGTTTCTTCAATTTTACGATAATATGTAACTCTTCGAGTTTTCATTTTAAATTTTTCGGTTTTACTATCTTCCAACTTTTGGATATTTGAGTTTTTAGATGTCGCAATTTTTTCTATTTGCAGATTTCAGACTTTTTATTTTTTAGATTTCGCAATGTTTTAATTTGTGTTTCTCGAGTTTTCAATTTTTAATTTTTCAGATTTTCATTTCGATTTTCTTTATTTTTTTTTAATTATTCGATTTTTCAGTGTTTCAATTTGATAATAGATTTTGGAATTTATCCATTTGCGATTTCAAGACCTAAACTTTAATTTTTCAATTTGCAATTTTTCCTTCCGGTTTTTATTTTCTTTATTTTCTTGATTTTACAATTTTTCTTTTTTGAATGTGAACATTTTCCAATTTTGGATTTTTCTATTTTTAGGTTTTCACTTTTTCTATTTTTCAATTTCAGATTTCTTAATTTTCCGTTTTTTTCAGTTTCCCGATTTTTTTTTCAATTTTTCATTTTGATTTTTTATTTTCTCAATTTTTTTAATTATTCGATTTTCGATGTTTCAATTTGATATTTTTTTATTTTTCATTATTAATTTTTTTAGTTTTACGTTTCTTCAGTTTTTCGATTTGCGATTTTTTAATTTTTGCTTGTTTCTTCAATTTTTGAATTAACACTTTTTCGATTTAAAATTTCTGGAATTTCAAATTTTTGATTTTTGAATGTTTCTGTTCTTCAATTTTTCATTTATTCAAATTTTTCTTTTCGGTTTTTTGATTTCTTTATTTTTACAAATTTTCCATTTTTCAATGTTCCGATTTTATAATTTTTTGTTTCTTCAATTTCAGTTCTGTCAATTTTTCGATTTGCAATTTTTCAATTTTTAATTTTTTTTGTTTCTTCAATTTTCCAACTTATGAATATTTGAGTTTTCAGATTTAGGAATTTTTCAATTTGCGATGATTTCAAGGCTTGTCAATTCTAATTTGTCAAATTTTTTGATTTGCAATTTTTCGTTTCGGTTTTTATTTTCTTTATTTTTTCGATTTTTCGGTTTTCAGTGCTCTGATTTTACAATTTTCATTTTTCAATGTGAAAATTTTCCATTTTTGGGTTTTTCAATTCCTCGATTTTCACTTTTAGATTTCTTAATTTCCGTTTTTTCAATTCAAGATTTTTCAGTTTCTCGATTTTTTTTTAATTTTTCGTTTCTTCAGTTTTTCAATTTGCAATTTTTCAATTTTTAATTTTTTTTTGTTTTTCAATTTGACAATCTCTCGCTTTTCTAGTTTTCATTTTAAAATTTTTCAGTTTTTAGATTTTCCAACTTTTGGATATTTGAATTTTTAGATGTACTTAGCAATTTTTCGATTTACAATTTTCACAATTTTTAATTTTTTGATTTAGCAATGTTTCAATTTGTGTTTCTCGAGTTTTCAATTTTTAATTTTTCAGTTTTTCGTTTCGGTTTTTTATTTTCTTTATTTTTTAAATTATTCGATTATTCAAGATAATTTTTTATTTTTTCATATTTAATTTTTTCAATTTTACGTTTATTCAGTTTTTCGATTTGCGATTTTTCAATTTTTAATTTTTTCTTGTTTCTTCAATTTTTCCATTTAAAATTTCTCGACTTTCCAATTTTTGATTTTTCAATTTTTCATTGTTTTTGTTTCTTCAATTTTACAATATGTAACTCTACTAGTTTTCATTGTTAATTTTTTCAGTTTTCCAATTTTCCAACATATGAATATTTGAGTTTTCAGATTTTGGAATTTTTCGATTTGCGATGATTTCAAGGCTTTTCAATTCTACTTTTTCAATTCCTCGATTTTCACTTTTTATATTTTTCAATTTAAGATTTTTCAGTTTCTCGATTTTTTTTTCAATTTTTCGTTTCTTCAGTTTATCAATTTGCAATTTTGCATTTTTTTTGTTTCTTCAATTTGACAATGTCTAACTTTTCTAGTTTCCATTTTAAAATTTTTCAGTTTTTAGATTTTCCAACTTTTGGATATTTAAAGTTTTAGATGTAGCAGTTTTTCGATTTACAATGTTCATAATTGTTAATTTTTTGATTTTGCAATGTTTCAACTTGTGTTTCTCGAGTTTTCAATTTTTAATTTTTCAGTTTTTCGTTTCGGTTTTTTATTTTCTTTATTTTTTAAGTTATTCGATTTTTCAAGATAATTTTTTATTTTTTCATATTTAATTTTTTCAGTTTTATGTTTCTTCAGTTTTTCGATTTGCGATTTTCATTTTTTCTTGTTTCTTCAATTTTTGAACCGACAATTTTTCAATTTAAAATTTCTCGGCTTTCCAATTTTTGAATTTTCAATTTTTCTGTGCTTTAATTTTTCAGTCATTCAAATTTTCAACTTGCAATTTTTGGTTTCGTTTTTTTTGTTTTCTTTATTTTTACAAATATTCCATTTTTCAATGTTCCGATATTATATTATAATTTTTTGTTTCTTCAATTTCAATTCTGTCAATTTTTCGATTCGCAATTTTTTGTTTTTGTATTTATTGCCTTTATTTTGAGAATTTTTCCATTTTTAAATGTTCCTATTTTTCGTTTCTTCAATTTTTTTTGTTTCTTCAATTTTAGGATATGAACTCTTCTAGTTTTCATTTTAATTTTTTCAGTTTTCCGATTTTCCATCTTGCGGATATTTGAGTTTTTAGATTTCGAAATTTTTCGATTTGCAATTTCAAAACTTTTCAATTTTTAGTTTTTCAAGTTTTCGACTATCAAATTTTCGTTAGGTTTTTATTTTTTTTTTCGATTTTTGGGTTTTTCAATATTCTGATTTTACAATGTTCTTTTTTCAATGTAAAATTTTTCAATTTTTGGAGTTTTCAGTTCTTGGGTTTTCAGTTTTTCTATTCTTCAATTTTACATTTTTTAATTTTTCATTTTTTCAATTCAAGACTTTTCAGTTTCTTCAATTTGATGATGTTTAGCTTCTAGTTTTCATTTATAATTATTTCAGTTTTCTAATTTTCAATTTGAAATTTTTCGTTCCGGTTTTTTTTTTCTGTATTTTTTCAGTTTTTCAGTTTTTCAATCTTCTAGTTTTGCAGGTTTTTCTTTTTTTCAATTTTAGGTTTTTTAGATTTGTGTTTTTTCAATTTCTCGATTTTTTTATCAATTTTTTGTTTTTCCAATTTGTCATTTTTCGTTTCTGTTTTTATTTTCTTTGTTTTTTCAATATCTCGGTTTTTCAATGTTCTAATTTTACAATCTTGCTTTTTTCAATATAAAATTTTTCGATTTTTGGATTTTCCAATTCTTCGGTTTTCAGTTTATCTATTTTTCAATTTTAATTTCTTTAAATTTTCATTTTTTAAATTTACGGTTTTTCAGTTTTTCCTTTCTTCAATTTTTGATTTCCAATTTCTCTAGTTTTTATTCTAAATATGTAATAATAATTATAATTTTTAAAATTTTTCATTTCTTCAATTTTATAATTTTAGAATTTTTCCATTTTTCAGTTATTGTATTTTAAAACTTTCCTTTAATCGATTTTTCAATTTTTCGACTTTGTAGTTTTCTTTTTTAATTTCATCCGTTTTTCGTCTTTCCAATTTTTCGATTCATCAATTTTTTCGATTTTTAAATTCGATTTGCAATTTTCCGATTTTCCACTTTTCCATTTTACAAAAACGAAAAAGTACAAAATGAAAACTTTGAAAAATCTAAAAAGTAGAAGTCAAGGACTTGAAAAATTGAAGAAACGAAAAATTGAAAAATTGAAACCATAAAAATTAAGAAACTTAAAAATCGAAAAGTGCAATATCGAAAAAACGAAATATTGTAAAATCGAAATAAAAAAAATTCAAAATTTGAAAAATCGAGGAACTGAAAAACTGAATAAACGAAAAATTATAAAATCGACAGCAACATTGAAAAAATAAAGGAAAGGAAAAAACGAAAAATTGTGATATAAAATCACGAAAATGAAATTAAAAAATTGAGAAAATGCAAAAAAATATTGATTTATAATTTTTTTGTTATTGAGCTTCTTTCTATTACTATAAACAAGTTAAAAGAGTATGTTTTCGTAACATAATTCGTTCGAATCACAGACAGTGGCGCAGTATGGGTGATTAAAGTATGACACAAAACAATCATATTTCTGTTTCCCAAGTAAAACTACATTTTCGCAAAAATTCAATTCTACTATCACTAAAAGATAATTAATTTTTAATTTTATCAGTTTTTTTATGTTGTAAGTTTCAAGAAACAAATTTAACATTAAAAGTGCATAACAATATAAACTTTTACAATATAAACTCGAGCCATCCATCCACCGCTATATCATCTTTTAAAATTTGCAACTAAATGTAATTTCCGCGTCTCTCAACTTCTCTTATAAATTCATTCGGCGAAATGTACAAACTAAAGTTGATTAAGAACTTCGCTGTGACACTAATCCATAAAACATTATTCCTGACGCAATAGAGATGGTATAACAGTAAAGTTTAGCAACGAGACAATCAATCAATGTTTCAGACGTTATCTTGAATCGTTACGAGCTGGCGTTTAGGAATTCAAGGCAATCAACTGCTTGTAAAAGAAGCGAAGAGATAATAGAATAAGTGTTTTATGTTACAACGTTTTACAACCTAATGACTCGAAGCTCCATCCGAAGATAAAAACAAACAATAAAAACAACAGTAAAACCGGAAACGATAAGTTCCGTTTTTGAGCGACTGACCAAATCAGGAAACTCACACTGAAGTAACATGAAGTAACATGTGAGGTTAGAATCCGCCTCGAAACCGTCACCCATTCCGTCGTCGCAGTGACTTTTCGTGCCTATTTTCTCAAGTTTGCTCGCCTGCCGTCCTCCGTTTGACTGGACCGTCAAAGTCACCTTTCAGGTCCCGTCAAAATTTCCGTCTAGTTGCAATGTTGTAATGTGAATCCAGGATGCAGTCCCGCCAAAACTCCAGTTCCGGGCTTTTGATGGTCGGCCCCAACTTCCGCGTGGGCAAAAAAATTGGAAGTGGCAATTTTGGGGAACTACGTCTGGGCAAAAACCTCTACAACAACGAACACGTGGCGATCAAACTGGAGCCGATCAAGACCAAAGCGCCGCAGCTCCATCTGGAGTACCGCTTTTACAAGATACTCGGCACCAACGAGGGCATACCTAAGGTGTACCATCTGGGGACTTGCGGGGGTCGATATAACGCGATGGTGATGGAATTGTTGGGTCCTAGTCTGGAAGATTTGTTCACGTTGTGCAATAGGAGGTTTCGGTTGAAGACTGTGTTGATGATAGCGGATCAGTTGTTGACTAGGATAGAGTATGTGCATAGCAAGAGGTTGATTTTTAGGGACATTAAGCCGGAGAATTTTTTGTTGGGGAGGACGAAGACGAAGAAGGAGAAGATTATACACATTATTGATTTTGGGTTGGCGAAGGAGTATTTGGATGAGAATACGAACAGGCATATACCATACAGGTGAGGGAGGTTTTCTGTGAAAGATCTAACGGAGAAATTAGCTCTTAGTTGAATTTCGAAGATGTTTGTTTACTTTTTTTTTATTAGTTGTCCACAGTATCTAAGAGATATAATGATGACAGGCAAGATTTCTTATAGCCGGTACTGCCAATTACGTTGTCGGTTGGTCTGATAGCTTACAAATGTACTGAACTTACATGAACCTGTACAACATATTCCAAAGAAATAGTGTTACTTCAATTTTGTCAAATATTCTTTTTCCAACAACTCCTGACATCTCCTTTAGAAGTATTCAAAGTGATACTATAGACCCGGATAAGCATAGAAACAAGTCGTCGCCTGAGAACTTGTTTGATTTACAGACCAGAGCGCGCTCAGGCCAATGTCGACCCTAAGCGTTCAAAATTTCTTTGTGTATTTTAATGTTTTAGATAATATTGTGTTCTACTTTGTATTAATTTTTACATATTATTATTAGTGACGATTTTTGTAGCTATTTTCCATACATTGCATGATATAAGCATTGGGAAGACTTTCAGCAGTAACGCAACATGCCTAAAACGCCCTCAGTGAACGAAAAACTGAAAAATAGAAAAGTTGAATTATCGAAGAATAAAAAATTTTTAAAATCAAAAAATTGATACAGCCAGAAATTGAAAACTTCCTAAAACTGATAATGTTGAAAAAAACTGAGAAATCGAAAACAGAAAAATAAGAAAATAGAGAAATCGAGTAGCTGAAAAGTCGAAAAACTGATAAAAACGAAATAGGTCAAAACAAAAAAATCGAAAAGTTAAAAACCGTTAAACGAAGAAGTTGAACAATCAAAGCATTGAAACGTCCGAATCTCGATAAATCGAGAAATCAAAATATTGAAAAATGGAAAAATTTTAAAAAAGAAAAATTGGAAAATCGAAAATTTAAAAATTCGGAAAATTAAAACATTGAAATATGGAAGAACTGAAAACTCGAGAAATCGTAAAATCCAGAATTTTAAAAATTGAAAAATTAAAATATTGAAAAGTTGAAAAATCGAGAAATCTAAAAATTGAAAAGTTGAAATATACTTTAAAAATCGAAAAATCAAGATGGCGAAAATGATCGAGAAATTGACGAATCGAAAAGTCGAGAAAAATTGATAAATTGAGAAACTGAACAATCAAAACATCGAAATGTCCGAATCTCAATAAATCGAGACATCAAAAATTTGAAAAATTGAAATCTCGAGAAAGCGAAAAATCCAAAAGTTTAAATCTTGAAAAATTAATTATATTTATAGTTTAAAAAATATGAAATTGAAAATCCAAAATGTACAAAATCGAGGAAACAGAAAATCCAGAAGCCAAAAATTCGAAAATTCGAAATACTGTATCAATATCTCAAAATTGAAATATTGAAAAATTAAAAAATATATGGAAAATTGAAGAAACGAAAAATTATAAAAATCCCAAAACTGGAAAAAAATGAGAAAAAAAAATTGGAAAATCGAAAATTTAAAAATTCTGAAAATTAAAACATTGAAATATAGAAGAACTGAAAACTCGAAAAATCGCAAAATCCAGAATTTTATAAATCGAAAAATTAAAATATTGAAAAGTTGAAAAATCGAGAAATCTAAAAATTGAAAAGTTGGAATATACTTTAAAAATCGAAAAATCAAGATGGCAAAAAATGGAAACAAAAAAATCGTAAAACCGCAAAATTGGAAAACAAAAATCTTGAAGAACTGAAAAATGGAAAAATCGAAAAATCTAGAATTTAAAGCATTGAAAAATTAAAATATCGAAAAATTGAAAAATCGAGAAATACAAATTCGGATAACCAAAATTTAGAAATCTAAATACTGCAAAATCGTAAAATCGAAAAACTGAAACTCCAAAATTTAAAAAATTAAAAAATTAAAAAATCGGATAACTAAATAATCGAAACATAGAAAAATTCAAAAACTGAGACATCGCGAAATTAAAAAATCAATGGATCGAGAACTAGAGAAATCGAAAAGTCGAGAAGTCGAAAAATTGAGAAACCGGAATAGGCTGAAATCGAAAAATCGAGAAGGTAAAAATTGAAAAATCAAAAAACCGAGAAATCGAAAAAAAGAAACATGGTAAAATTCAAAAACTGGGACGTCGAGAAATAGACTAGTCGCGGTTTCTCAAATTTTCGACTTCCCAACTTTTCGACTTCTCTAGTTCTCGATCCATTGATTTTTTAATTTCTCGATGTCTCAGTTTTTGAATTTTTCGGTGTTTCGATTTTTCAATTTTTTCCCTTTACTTCCAACTTTTCAATGTTTCGATTATTTAGTTATCCAATTTTTCAATTTTTCAATTTTTTCAATTTTTGGGTTTCAGTTTCTGGATTTTGCGATTTTTCAGTCTTTCGATTTCTAAATTTTAGGTCTCCGAATTTGTATTTCTCGATTTTCCAATTTTTCGATATTTCTATTTTTCAAGTTTTCGAGTTTTCAATTTTGTGGTTTTATGATTTTTTTATATTTCCATTTTTTGCCATCTTGATTTTTCGATTTTTAAAGTATATTTCAACTTATCAATTTTTAGATTTCTCGATTTTTGAACTTTTCAATATTTTAATTTTTCAATTTTTAAATTTTGGATTTTGCGGTTTCTCTATAAATTTTTCGACTGTTTTATACTTCGATTTCTCAATTTTTCAATTTTTCGATATCTTAATTTTTCAAGATTTAAAATTCTGGATTTTTCGTTTTCTCGAGCTTTCAGTTTTTCAAAGTTTTGTTGTATCAATTTATCGAGATTCAGATATTTCGATGTTTTGATTGTTCAATTTCTCGATTTATCAATTTTTCTCGACTTTCGACTCGTCTAATTCTCGACGTCGATTTCCGGTTTTTTGATTTTTCAATGCTTTAAATTTTTTCGATTGTTCCATTTCTCAGTTCTTGAAAATTTCAATTTTTCAATTGTTCGAGTTTTCAATTTTGCGACTTTACGATTTTTTTATATTTTTTCTCGATTTTATCCAGAATTTTAAATCTTGAAAAATTAAGATATCGAAAATTTGAAACATTGAGAAATCGAAGTATAAAATAGTCTAAAAATTGAAAAATTTATAGTTTAAAAAACGAAAAATTGAAAATTCAAATTGTACAAAATCGAGAAATCAAAAAATCCAGAAGCCAAAAATTCGAAAATTCGAAGAATCTAAATACTGAACTATCTCAAAATAGATATATTGAAAAATTAAAAAATATATGGAAAATTGAAGATTCGAAAAATTGTAAAAATCCCAAAACTGGAAAAAATATCCAAGGATTGAGAGAAAAACATTGGAAAATCGAAAATTTAAAAATTCGGAAAATTAAAACATTGAAATATAGAAGAACTGAAAACTTGAGAAATAGCAAAATCTAGAATTTAGAAATTGAAAAATTAAAATATTGAAAAGTTGAAAAATCGAGAAAAAATATAAAAAAATCGTAAAACCGCAAAATTAAAAACTTGAAAATTTGAAAAATAGAAATATTGAACAAACGAAAAATGGAAAAATCGAAAAATCTAAAATTTAAAGCATTGAAAAATGAAAATATCGAATAATTGAAAAATCCAGAAATACAAATTCGGATACCTAAAATTTAGAAATCGAAAGACTGAAAAATCGCAAAATCGGGAAACTGAAACCCCAAAATTTAAAAAATTGAAAAATTGGATGACTAAATAATTGAAACATCGAAAAATTGAAAAACTGAGATATCGAGAAATTAAAAAATCAATGGATCGAGAACTAAAGAAGTTGAAAAGTCGAAAAGTCCAGAAGTCGAAAAATTGAGAAACCGAAATAGGCGAAAATCGAAAAGTTAAAAATTGAAAAATTGGTAAATCGAAAAATGTGGAATTTAAAACATTGACAAATATTGAAAAATTGAAGAATCAAAAAATCGAAACTCCAAAATTTAAAAGTTGAAAAATTGAAACATCGCTTTACTGAAAAATCGAAAAATCGAAAAGCCGAAAAGTAAAAATCAAAAAACCGAGAAATCGAAAAATCGAAACATCGAAAAATTCAAAAACCGGGACATCAAGAAATCGAAAAATCAAATGATCGAGAAATAGACCAGTCGAAAATTCGAGCAAAATTGATAAATCGAGAAATTGAACAATCAAAACATTGAAATGTCCGAATCTCGATAAATCGAGACATCAAAAACTTTAAAAATGGAAAGTAAGCTCAAAAAGACGAAACATCCAGAATTTTAAAACTTGAAAAATTAAGATATTGTCACGTGCCCCCAAAAATCTTCAAAAAAAGAACCCACACTCCGAAAAAATAAAACTTCAAAAATTTTAGAAAAAAACTTAAGATCTATTTATTTGAAATAACCGAAATAAATTTACAAAAAAAGGAACTACTCACCTACTACTCGTGTTGTCGCCGTGGGCCACCACACACACTATGCCTTCCGGAGCTCCGGCACGAGCCCAGGAAGACTCCCTCGTGCTGAGCTTGCAAAATCACGGTTCATCAATCTATGGCAAGCTCAGCATTATGGTCTCCCCGGTCTCCCGCCGTAACTCGCGGCTGGGCCATTTCCCGAAGAGAGGAATGTCGAAACTTTAAAACTCAAAATATCTAATGTGACAATATCGAAAAGTTGAAAAATTGAAAAATCGAAGTATAAAACAGTCGAAAAATTGAAAAATTTATAGTTTAAAAAACGAAAAACTGAAAATTCAAAATGTACAAAATCGAGGAATCAAAATATCCAGAAGCCAAAAATTAAAATTGAAATGTAAAATTAAAATATATATATATAGAAAAATGAAGAATCGAAAAATTTTAAAAATTCCAAAACTGGAAAAAATATCCAAAAATAAAAAAAAAATGGGAAAATCGAAAATTTAAAAATTCGGAAGATTGAATAAGTGAAATATAGAACTGAAAACTCGAGCAACTGAAAAATATAGAAAGTGGAAGAATCGAAATACTGAAAAATCCCAAAGACGAAATATCGAAAAATTGAAAAATAGAAGAAAAATTGAAGAATCGAAAAATTCAAAAATCCCAGAATAATAAAAAATCGAGAAATTGAAAATCTGAAGAATGAAGAAATTGAGAAAGCCCAAAATTGAAATATTGAAAAATTGAGAAATCGAAACTCCAAAATTTAAAAGTTGAAAAATTGAAACAAAGCCCAATATTGAAGAAAAAAATTTGAACCCGTATTCATAAACCACAAGTTCAGGACTATGCTACTTTTTAACATTTAAATAAAATTTATTCGACCAACTTACAAACATGACATCATCAATTTCTGGGGGGTATGAACTGATAAATTTTGACTAACGATTTAACGTGCTTCCAACTGTAAAATGTTGTTGATTTTTTTTCCAAAAATCTGAATGCTTAAGGTAAAAACTCAACACGGATTCATAAAGCATAAACGGAATAACATTAACTATTGTAAAATTTCGAAATTACGTCATTTCATTGTTGGTGGGGATGAAAAGATAAATTTTGGTGAGCGTTTTACCATTTGATACTTAATACAATTTGAAATGTAATTTTTTTCATTCGGGAACATTATGTATTAAATCGTTAAGATGTTCACTTATTCGTTAGAAATGTGTATCAGTTAGATCAGCTCTAACTAAAGTCGGCTTATACATCAAATTGCTTAAAGTCGATATTGGCCTGAGTGCGCTCTGATCTGTAGATCAAACAAGTTCTCAGGCGACGAAATGTCAAATCATATAACCACGAAAACGAACGAAGTTGTCCAATTTTTGCCGAATTTGACATTAGATTCTGATAATTAATTATTATTATTACCCAACAGATAGGGTGATTTTTTAAATTTCTGCTCTAGTTAACCATGACGCTTACGTCAGCGGTGAAATTAGAGTTACTGAGGTAAGCATCATGGGTAGTTAGTGCAGAATTTTAAAAAATCGCTCGATTTTACATAATAAAACAATGACATAACTTAAGATAAAACGCTAAGTAATAGAAAAGCAAAGAATAAAATATACAATGTGTGAGATTTAGTTGGTAAATTTAAAACTTAATGTAACAAGTAAAATACCGCGCGCTTCTCGATATCTCATTAATTATCACAAATACAAAAGTCCACAGATTAAAGTTTTATGGACCTTTGAAGACCATACACTAAAATTATCTTCAACTATAGGTATAGGGTGTTCTATTTTTAGGCGTAAGACACAACTTAGTATATGTATTTTCACATATTCTGACTGATTTTTCTTTAGGTTTTATAAGATAACCATTGTTTACTTTTGAAATTCTGATGCGACGTTGCCACGTTATTCCAATTTTATTTAAATTTTTTAGCACAGAAAAAATTAAAAATATGTGTTACAATATTTTGTAGAGAGCTTTCGTCCGTCCGTCCGTCTGTCTGTCTTCCGTCTATTCAAATTTATATTAGATAGATATTTTCCGAACTCTGTTAGGAATATCGTGTGGATGGTAGAAAGCTAACCAAAATTTGGACAGTCATTCCACCAACAAACACTAGGATGACCTCTAAAATTTGCATTAGTAAATGTTATTCAAGTTTTATAAAATCACATACTCATACAAGTGTGATTTATGAATCTATCTTGAGTTTTTACCCTAGATATCCAGATTTTTGGAAAAATATTTAACAGTTTAACTTTGAATTCTATTCGTACGAACGCTCTGAAATCTTGTACGCATTGGAAAGTCCCCCCCCCCCTCCCGAAAAATTGATTGCGTCATTTCAGTTTCTTTTCTTTAAATTTAATAAAATAACAGATTCAACTGCATTTATGAATCCGTGTTGACCCTAGACAGTTTTATAATTTTACTTTGAAACTGTAAAACCAAATGCAGTGAAATTTACGAGTGGTTACATTAGCCATCCACTTTTTTGGGAAAAAATTCATTAATTAATTAGTCCTCTCTTCTGGCTTGAGGAGACAACATCAATCAAATTTCTTTTTTTTAACACAAATACCGTCGCTAAACGTGCTAATAGTCAGATTTTTTCAAAGTATAAACATAAAGAGTCTAAGTTAAGCATGTACTGAGAAATTGAGAATAAATTGTTCTCATTAGTTGTCTGCTTTAAATATTTCATATTGTCGAGATTTGTGCGGACAGAAAACACAAATCAAAATTGGCAACACTGCTGGACTACAATGGAAATTTATCGTAAACAAATGTATATATATATGTATAAAATATAGTTCAATCAATTTTTCATAGCTAATAGATGTCGTAATAAAACAGATATGAATTTTTAACTCTCCTGGCATTAATATTTGCCTGCTTTGGCTTATTTTCATATTCGTTGCATAGCACTAAAATATTTTATGTGAATTCGGTTTTTGCATTGTTTATAATTCCTTTATCGTTAAAATCTATAACTCAGTTTTAAAACAAAACTATGCTGTAACACATATGTTATATTATAAAAATTGGTAACGAATATTGATGAGTAAACCCCAAATTTAAAAAAAGTTCTAATAAAAGTCTTCTCGTTTCTGAGATAAAAATCATTTTAATTTTCTCAAAAGTTGTTGTGCGCCACTGGATTAAATTGACTAAAAAAATAGTTCTTTAGTAGTTAAGCAACAGCTGAATTGGATTCTTTCAGATAAAAATGGCAAATTATACTAATGCTGAAATGGCAGACACAGATATAGTTTTTATGTACGGGAAGGCGGAAGGTCTCATTACTCTCACTCAACGCGCTTTTTTGGTTCTTTATCTAAAATTTCAAGTTGCTGAATTTAAACGTTCGGCGAGTATTGGAAGATTGTTCCGCTAATGTTTGCTTTCTGTTTCATATTCATTAATTGCGTTACAACTGTATTCATTCTGCTTAATTCTGAACTCCAAAAGCTGCTTATTTTGCGCCATATAAACCGTGTCGCAGTTGTTACATTTAATTTTATACATGCCGTTATTTGGTGTCAGGGGCGAATCTTGGTATTTTATGTTTTATAATTTAAACTTACTTCTTATTGAACCTTTTTTTCATTAAAAAGTCTAAAAATAAAAATACTTTTAATTGTAGTCTTAAATAAATGACTTCTATCAGACGGTGCCACTGGATATTTTCAATAATTCACGGCCACTGCATAATCTTCCACCTCACGACGTCGAGACACTCTGTATTTAAAAACTTTCTTGTTCAAGTCATCAAAATTTTATAAAACCTTAACAGAAATTTTCATAAACGCTTCGTTAATCCGACGTTTTAGCTTAGTAATTGAAAAATAATTAAAGGAACTTCGTAAACATTTAATTATTCTAAAATTTCGTAACTGTTCTTTAATAGATTCGAGAAAAAACTTTACTCAGGCAGTAATGTTTGTCTACGAAATATGGTTTCAATGTATTTATAAAAAATTGCTGTAATAACGTCAGAATAAACGAAGATTCTTTTTTTATTGATTGAACTTAATTTCGTGTTAAAAAGCAGCTGCACTACAATGGAAACACCAGCGAACGACAATAAACCCCTCAAAGTTTTAATTTGGAATTAACAACAAACTCCCTTGTGTTTACCTTTTGTATTTATCCTATTTTTTCAATACCGGCAACTGTTGTCATAAATAACACGTCAACAGCCTGTTTATTGCTGTCTTTATTTTCGCTTCACTGGTAAATTTAACAAGAAAATACATTTTTAAAGGTTAACTGATTAATCTGTGATTAAAAATACTTACCAATTTTATCCACCAGGGCAAACATTATCGTCATAAGTCAACCAGTCAGACTCACGCAACAAGGTACAAAAATAGCACAATTCGTGAATTCAGGGTCCTTTTGACGAATTGGCAGCATCGGCGCGAAATCTCGGTGTAGTTTTGGGTACTCAACTATACAGGGTGATTTCGAAATATATGCAAGAATTTTAACCACGGCATCACGTACCGTAGTAGTGTGGAAACATAGAAAAAACAAGTTAAAAATCGAATGGGGCAAAACCCCCATGAACCCCCGGAGACGAAGCCACTGATCCACCTTTTAAAGAGTAGGTGGAAAAACGGTCGAACAAAAACGATGTAAACTCTCTCCGTTTCAACTAAAAGTAAAACCCACTTTTTGCTGGTTATCATTCGTTCATTCATGCGTTCGTTAAAGGTCAGTGTTTTTATTGCACACATTTCAAAATCACTCTGTATAAATCAATTTTTGCCACTGTACATCATCAACTTTAAGCCCTTTGACCCAGAGAGCACAAGTCCCTAACCGGTACCGCCCGCTACATGAGCATCAACACCCACCTCGGCCGTGAGCAGTCCCGTCGCGACGACCTCGAAGCCATCGGGCACATGTTCATGTACTTTTTGCGCGGCTCTCTGCCTTGGCAGGGCCTCAAAGCCGACACTCTGAAAGAGCGCTACCAGAAGATCGGCGAGACGAAGCGAACCACCCCCATAGAGACCCTCTGCGAGGGCCACCCCGAGGAAATGGCGACCTACTTGCGTTACGTGCGTCGATTAGACTTTTTCGAAACTCCGGACTACGAATACTTGAAAAAAATGTTTAAAGATTTGTACAAGGAGAAAGGCTACCAAGACGATGGAATCTTCGACTGGTCAGGTAACTCGCGAGTCATGTCACTGCTGGACTTATTGACGCTTTTCTCACCCCAAACAGACCGGTTAATTTGGTTAAGTGGCCGAGAAAGGAAGTTCAGTGACACAAAATATTATTTCAGCAAGCATATTACTCCCAGCGCTACGAGTGATGTAAGTAGACCGTGATCCGGAGAACTCAAAGCTGGTTCGGGCTGTACAGCAAGTATTCATTTTTGCATCGCGGTGCAAAAATATGCTTGCTGGAATCTTGCGATCGGGGCGAGGAGGTGTAACTCACCGGTGGTCTGTTGCAGGGTTGACTCCACCGTCGGCGACCGCTCTTGTCAAAGAATGAAACTAAAAGACATTGTGTAGCAGTTGTATTGAGTAAATGACCTAAGGCTAACACTTGGTTCTTTTCTTTACGAGATCTTGCATTGTTAGACAACGAAAAGAAGCGGCGTGATGAATACTAAAACTCCACTGATCTTGCATTTAAAAGTCTTTCTTTAAACAAGTTAAGAGCTGACACATTAAAAAGGAACAAAATGCTGGTTTGTATACAGATTCACACGTCGCGCTCACCTTTTGGTCTGGAATTCTTCTAATATCTCTCATTTCCTTCGTACTAATAAAGTGAATTTGTAGTCGAACAGTCCAATGGGTTCTTGGATTTTATTAAACACAACAAAAAATATGTAACCAACTAGGAAAAAGTTAGTTGTAAAAGTTTAACATTCATTTAGTTTATTTGATGTCTAATGCTTATATTTATTTCCTATAAAATTTCAAGACAGCTGTGGAACTCTTCGGAAGCCATCTTGAAGCGACCTGTTTAATAGACAAATTGGTGCTTGGCGAGGATCTTCCAGAAACTAAAAAGTTTATATGAATTTGCGTCAATTTACTATCTAATATTTCAGTTTGGTCTTTTGATCTTTTCAAAACTACCATTGGAAATTCTATCCGGAATTATTCCGTTTAAGAGTCCCCTCTTTCGACTTAATTTTTTATCGTTTGTTAAGCTGTTTGTAGAGTGAGAATAAAGGTGCATTTAACGTTTATTTAAATACGTTTAAAGTCAAAAAAATGACAGAAAATAGAGCTTGAGTGTTTTTAAGTAGAGCCCACATTTGAAGAAGATTCAACTAACCGTTTCCGAGATATTCAACTGCTTCCATACTTTTCAGCAACCCTGTATATGTAGTAGTAATGAATGAATTAAGTGTTTATTTTTTTACCCTACGGGCTTGAAATATTCTTGATTTACAACACTACAATTTTTTTCCTAATTAACAAAGACCAAATAAAACATTTTAAAAACCAAATAACTCATTTTTTTCCATTTATCCCATCTCCCCCTTGCCCCACCCTCACTCTTGTCCTCTCCACTTCTTTCATTCATTCCACGCCTCTTCCGTCTTCATTCAATATCTCTGTCACACTCTTCTCTCTTTCGTTGCTCTTCTCACAGTCATGCAGCATGTGCTCTATCGTCTCTCGCTTTTCTCCACACATTCTACACATTCTCTCACCTTCGCTTACCCAAAAATTATTATCTCTTTCTTCATTTCCACACCTAAATCTCGCAATTATTTTTTTTTCTTTCGCGCTTTCTCTGTCTATATGCTTTGCTACTGTTTCTGTTATTATCTTTCTATAGTCTGCATTGTACCTCGATTTACTTACACTCGCTCTTCTCTCTTGTTTATCTATGTCTCTGTCACGCATACACAACTCTTCTCTCATACTCACCCCCATTTCTCTCTTTCTTCTATTTCGATCCATGCGTATCCCAGTCTTTCATAATATCCTTGCCTACCCTTGTGATGTTCTTTCCCTGCTTCCTTTTTTTCCTTCCAGCATTTATACAATATCCTACATTCCTCTCTTTCTTTCAACCTTTCATCATACTTTACAGCTCTTTTCCCAGTGTATACTCTTAATTTCTCTCGTTTACATTCTTCTCTTACTATATAGCCTGGCGTCTCTTTCCGTAGCCCTAACATCCACCCCAAATATTTTTCTTGTACTGCTTCCATCTCTGCATATTCCTTCCATCCCCATATCTCCACTCCATACATTAATACACTCCTAACTAAATTATCAAACATTTTTATCCTTCTTCTTACGTCATGTCCAAATATTCTCTCACCTATACTCCACACCATTCCCATTATCTGCATTGCTTTGACCCTTCTTTCTCTTATGTGTGCTTTTACCGTGTTAGTTGTTGTAAACTTAAATCCTAAATATTTAAACTCCTTTACTGTGTCTATGATTCGATTTTCCCAACGCCACACTTTTTCCTCCCCTTTTCTTCCTTTTTTTCTAAACACCATAATTTTTGTTTTTTCTACATTTACTCCAGTTTCTTTCTTTTAAAGTATCTTTCCAGATTTTTTTTCATCTCATTCATTCCACATTCATCCTTCGCCAATATTACCAAATCATCTGCAAATGCCAAACACCATACCTTTCCTCTCCCCACCACAATTCCTCCCGCTTGTACTCCTCTAAACATTTCCTCGATATCGCTTATGTAACAAGCAAACAGACTGGGACTTAATGGGCATCCCTGTCTCAATCCTTTCGTCGTCCAAAACATTTCACTTTCTACTTCTCCCACTCTCACACTAGTCACTCTCTCTGTGCTGCTGCAATTAACTTTTCACTTCTCTCCATGCATTCCCACAAACACTTTCTGTTCACCGTATCAAACGCGGCTCTTAGGTCTACAAACAGTGCATATACCCGACCTCCTTCCTTTAGCAACTCTTTTTCTATTAGATGATGCAGGATATATACATTGTCCATAGCCCCTCTACCCCTTCTAAATCCCGTTTGACTTTCCGGTAATATACTCTTTTCGTTCATCTCTGTCACCAACCTTTCATTTTGCACCACTGTGTACAGTTTATACGCCGTATTTAGGACCATTATTCCCCGATAATTCTCTACTTTTTCTTTATTACCCTTTTTATGAATAGGGCATATTTGCCCTACTCTCCATTCCCTGGGAAAACCTTTACACGTCCACACATCATTCATTAACTCGCTCAATCTTTCAATCATCCCATCCGTCCCAAATATCCACACTTCGTTTACCAACCCATCCCTCCCCGGTGCTTTTCCTCTTTTCAGTTTTCCTACTTGTTTTCCTACTTCCTCTACTCGAATCTCAGACTCCCTTTCTCTACCACCAATCCCGGTTTTACTACCTTGCACTACAATTCTCTCTTGCTTTCCATTCAACAGTTCCATAAAATGCTTCTTCCACTGTATTATAGGTATGTCTTCACTAATCGTGCTTTTGTTCTTCCGTTCTTTATTTATATACTGCCATGCCTCTTGCTCAGTTCTTATGGCTTTAATTTTTTCTTCTTCTTCTTGCTGTATGTCTTCTTTCTTTTCTTTGCATCGTTTTCTATAATTATTTTTTGCTTGCCAGTACTCTTCTTTTATACCTTTCCCCCTTTTCCACCTTCGTAAACATTTCCTTGCTTCTGTTTTTAAATCTCTGCATCTGCTATGCCACCATCTGTTTCTCTTTTCTAAATTTCTCTTTTTAATTCTTCCATTTTCTTTTCAGTTCTTTTTTCTTTAAATTCCACTTCCAACATTTTTTTTTATAATGCTCAATTCCTTTTTCATGCCATACCCATATCTTCTTCTCTTTTCCTATTTCATAAGCATCCGCTCCTTCTACTTATGACCCTCAATTTTACTTCTAGTGGCATGTGATCGGAGTCCACTCTTTATCCTATTTTGAATGTTTCTGCCTCTTCTTCTGCTAATCCGTTTACTATTACGTAGTCTATTACCGATTCCCCTCTTTTTCCTATCCAGGTAAATTCCCCCTCCTCGTCCCCTTCCTTCACCCCATTCAAGACTTCCCAACCTCTTTCTTCAATTAATTCCCATAGCAATTTTCCGTCTTTGTTTTCTACTTTATCTTTCAATTTTCGTGTGTTTTCCCCTTCGTGATCCCTGCTTTTGTTTCCTATTCTGGCATTAAAGTCCCCTCCTAACAGTAGAAATTCTTCTTCGGACTATTCGATTTTTTCTTGTATTTCTTGTTTCGTATTTCTCATTCCTTTACTATATATTATGCAGATTCTCCATCTTTTTTTATTTACATTCAGTTTTATTTCAACCATGCCTTCCATTTCTATCGCCCCCTCTTCTATTTCTTTTATATCTTTCTTCACTTCTGTTATGATTCCACCTTTTGCTCTACCCTTGCGTTTTTCTTTTTTTGTCCCTGGCAGTTTCCACTGAAATTCCTTTGGCAACACGTCTTTCAGTTTGTTCCAGTCTCTTTCTAGTATCCATGTTTCTGTTAGTCCCACAAAATCAAAATTCTTCACGTAGTCCCAAAATAAATTATCTTTCCTTTTCAGACCCGCGATATTCCAAAAGAGTAATTTTAAAACACGTTTATCTTCCCCATTCTTCTTTCACATTCCCCTATTATGTACAAAATCTACATTCTTAAACCTAAAGTCTTTATTTGTCCTATCATTACTACCCCTCCCCTTTGTGTTTCTTTCTTTTTTCCTTTATTGTCATTCCATGTATACATTTTGTCCCCTACTTCCAGCTTCTTATATCCCACCCTTGTTGTGTATCCTTTTTTTCTTTCTTCTTTAGCTACCTCCCTAATTCCTTTTTGAATTTTTTGCTCTTGTACTGTCCAATCATTATCAATAAATATTCTCTTTCCCCTCAGCTTATTTTTATTGTTCATCACCTCTTGTTTTTGCTCACAAAGCGTCTTAACCAGTATTTTCTTGCTTTCCTCTTTCCCTATAATTATTATTGTTTCCAACACTTTTACTTGGATCTCAATTTTTTTTTCCAAAAATTCCTCTACTTCTTTTGCATCTGTTTTTCCTTTATTTCCATACCCGTAATTATGAAATTGTTTCTTCTTTCTTGCCTCTTTTTTTTCCAACTTCTTCTCTAAATTATTGATTCTTTCTTCGAAGCTTCTCTCCTTTTCTTTCCATTCTTCTCTTTCTCTTTCCACATCATCAATCTTCTCTTATAATCATGTCCAAATTTTCTCTCTCCTATTCCCCGTACTACTCCTATCATCTTGTTCGCTTTTCGGACCATTTCTTGAATATGCGCTCTATCTGAGTTATTGCTCTTTAATGTATATCCTAAGTAGTGGAATTTTTTCACCTGTTCAATCTACTCCCCTCTCCATGCCCACTCTTCCTTCTCCTTTCTTACTTTCTTCCCAAACACCACCACTTTTGTTTTTTCCACATTCACTTCCAATTCCTTTTTTTGTACATACTTCTCAAAACGTTTAATCATTGGTTCCATTCCTTCTCTTCGAGCAAGGTGATCCCTCGGTAGTTCTTCATACTTCTACTTCTGTTTTCAGGGATTTTCT